GGTGGCCATTTTGAGAGAACGGCCACTTTTTTTGTTATGTTTTAAACCTAGCTTTTGGAGTTTTTAGTAAAAATTTGCAATTAGTCGCCAGATCTCAGTTATATTATAAAGTCTACATTATAAAGTCTACCATTATTGCCAAACAAAATCACGTGTCAACTCTCCAATAATGTCTGATCCATTAAAGAATAAAAGCCTTTTGGGAGCATTCACATTGAGAACAGCCGAGGTCTAGTAAGGCCGCGACCTAAATATGGCGGACCTACATAAAAGGAAGACCGCTAATCTTGTCTATCCTCACCACGCGTCGTCCCTGCAGGAGCACAGTAAATAAATCTCAGCTGAATTCAACCGGTCGAGGGACAGCGCATGGGGAAGCGTGTGAGAAGCGAAGAGACCATAAAAAGATTAGTGGTCTTCCTTTCATGTAGGTCCGCCATATTTAGGTCGTGGCCTTACTAGACCTCCGCTCTTTTCGACGTGAATGCCCCCTTTTAAGGGGTACATGTATTCCACGGTGTCTAATGTACTCAACCACGGTTATACTCACATGTGCCCGAGAATTAGACCCGATTCCCAGATATTAGATCGATCCAACTACAGGCCTACCCAACTACCAGACTCGGCACCGAATGATCCTGAATTCACCGGTAGAACAGACCACACTACCCGTTTTCAAGGTGTGAGTCAGTACGCATTACACAGTATCATAACCTGAACAAGTGGTGACGCAATGCTTTTCAACCCCGCTGAGAATTGTCACTATCACATCGCGTACTAGGCAAGAGCGGTGTCGCGTCTGATATTGAAATTGAAATGCATTCGGAATTTTTAGAATGCTCTTCAGATATCCAGCAACGCACAAAGAATTGTCTTTCCGGCGGCTTTCTTGCTCATTCCTCCTCTAGTGTGACGGGGGTATAACAGACCGATGAATAGGCCTACTAGCCTTACGGATTTGCACGCTAAACACTACTCAGACGAGTCGAAGTTGCAAACCGCCCATTTTTTGTGTGATATGCATGGCTCACCGGGAGGATTTCATATACATTTATAATTGTATCATTTAACCGTACGCCTATTATTGGGTAAGGATAGGACTTTCAAATGGCCGGACTTACATTACTGTCATAGGTGTTACAGGAATAAAAGTCCACCAGTAATACAAGTCCTACCTACTTAAATTATGAGCCAGGAACCTAAGTCCCTGTAGGACTATTTTCCCTAGTAATGGTAGTCCCCCTGTGGAGCAGTCATTTTTAAAAAAGGCTCTCAACCTAATATCGCAAATTCGGCTTAACGGAATCGGCTGTCTGATTTTTAGAGACTTTGTAAGCTTAGCTAAAGAGCGAAATGAGCCCAGGTACCAAAATTATACAATTTACTAGTAGGGCATGGTTATGCAGGCGTCACTTAAAGGGGGCGACACAAGCAAGTATTTATTCACCTCCCGACAGATTTGGTGGAGCAAAAAAAAAAAAAATAATAATAATAAGATAAATAAAAAAATTTAAAAAAAGATTAAAATAATAAATAAATACATAATACCTTATCATGACCGTGGCACAGAAATACATGAAACATGTGAAAGGGAAGAAGGTGGAGTATTAAAAATAGAGTTATAAAATTATTTTTTTTCATATTATAGTTATGAAGTGCGACACAACTGGTAATTCGAAATGTTGAAATATATGACTATTTTTTCGAGATGACTTTATTTTTGTTTTCATTTATCTGAAAAAGCAGGTATTTAAAGACGAGTCATGTTTTTCTCTAAGAAAAAAAAACATACATTTTCAGCGTGTCCCTTTTTTATTTTATCAAATAATTTGTTGACATTTTCTCTTGAGTATTCTAAACATGTTTTAAACAATGTTAGAACATTTTAGAAAGAGATCTTATTTACTTTTTGATTTTTTAAAATTAAATTTCCTGGGATGTATCCTGTACCTAAAAACCTGTAGGGAAAGAAGCATCATCATACTTACAGTGAAACCTCTCCGTCTTCGTCCCTGTTTAATGTATTACCGGCTGTCAAGGTGATGTTTTCTACACATACTCCAATATGACAGCTGCACGGTGATGCTGGTTATGTAATATTGAACTGATTTATCTGGTTTGGCTTTAAGCATACGCACTGAATTGATTCACAAACAAATGCATATCTATGTTTTCAAGCCTCTACAGCCATTATAAGAATATGGGTATCGTGGTTCGAAATACGAACATTAAAGCCGTTACCGCGTTTCAGAGGAGGGATTACCATGCAATCCGCCTTGGGGGTACCTTGTCAAGGCCACAGTGTCAAGGTCACAGAACCTCTCCTTGCAAAACTAGGCAGTCGGAAAAAAATTGTATTCATTGGAGTTGGTAGACATCGTTATCGTTTCCTGTGTAGATGATTTCAACATGACTGTACAGTATGGTGTTAATCAAAAATTTAAAGGATTTCTATTCATTAGGAAAAATAATCGGATTAGACCTGTTTTGTGAAACTAACACCCACTATTTAAAATTGACTTTACAGATTTGTCCACCTCTTGCCCACGTATTAAACAAATGTATGAAATTAATATGCCTTTAGTTATAACTCGTGTATCTAGGAATTAACTTCAGTTTGGGAATGGAGGGTGACATTCTTTGACATTGTGCGTTTTGACAGATTAATGGAATTAAGTTGACATCTCTTCATCCATTCTCACCAGCAGCTTATTAAATCGTTTTTTTTTAAATTCCCCAACACATATATTCAGACACAAACTATATAAAATCCAATATTTGTAAATAAAATTGAACCACCATTCGACCATGTTGATCGGCATTATAACTGGAAGTGTTGTACACTGTCAATTAACATAAACAAGCTGATGACTGTCATTTAGTATAAGAAAGCAAACATATTAAATATTTTCCAGGACATTCATCATGTCATCGCTGCGTAACGCTTTGTTGTCCATCTTACAATGAACTCGAAGGGGTTTTGTTTACCGTCCTATGCGTTCTGAGGGTGACAAAATTAGAAACTAACCACAGCATCATTTACTGTCAGAAAAGACTCAAGTCGTACGCCTCACATACTGAACTGCCCTGTCAATGTTTTCTAGGATATTTTCGCCGAATCTAAACATCGAGGTATCTATTACGATTCTACTCCCTTTTAAGTGTTGTCTAAAGTGATGCAACGACCCTAAGCTTCTATCTACGTTAAATGTGCTTTCCGAGGCGCGTTCGATCCAGTGGATATCCATCATCCATATTTTCTCTGGTTTAACGATAGTTTTGTAACAACACTTTTTTCTGAACGAATGGACCAGACGCGAGCGTCGTGAAGTTAAAAGACAGGCAGGGCGATAACTTAACAGCCTCGTATCCATTTCTCCTTTCACCGCAGGATATGTTTCAAAAGAAGCTCGACTTATTATGAACTCTTTCTTGGCGAATGCATACCCAGCACGGTCCTGCGGAAGACCTTCTAACAAAGAATATAAGTCGTTTTGTATGCTTGGCACGATGAACTCGTCCGTATCAACGAATACGACGTATTTAAAGTCATACATGTTACGGTACAGGCAGTCCTGGATTGAGGATAGTTCGGCGTAGTAGTGCACTCCTTCTGTGGCTTCATTGCCGACCGAATTTACACGAAGTTTTGGTGGTAAGTTCCAGGGAATTATTGTCATTATACCTAAAAGGAATAGTACAGTACAGTTAATTAAACTTAAGGTCATTGAGGCCTATCAGCTCATTGATAATAATAATAATAATAATAATTTTAATAATAACAATAAATAAATAAATAAATAAATAAATAAATAAATAAATAAATAAATAAATCAAGCTTTTTAAAATGAAACAAAATACAACAGATCACATCGTAAGAGCAGAATTAAGAGAGGAAAATATAAATACATGTACGGTCGTAAGTATGGCCATTAGTTGTACCTTATAACATCAGTACCTTGAGATTCATTTTAAACTCCATTATAGTGTTTTTTCTTATATTAGTTTAACTCTGTGTTATGTGCGCCTCAAGGTATAAAATTTTCCGGAAGCAGTGTTCAACAGTTTAACAGGTGAAGGATGCCAATTGAATTGCACCGTCTGTGTGAATAGTGCGCTAAGTGTGACTTGAGGCGCCGTTCGTAAAAATGCGATTCGTGGTTTATTGCTTGCATAACCAGTGATAAATTGTCATTCATGTGCACTATAAAAGATGTCGTCGAAGCTGTGATGCTCTGCTGGCTCTCAAGTTGCTACCATGGTGAAGGCGTGAGGGTCTGTGATGAAAGAAAAAAAAAAATATCTGAGGGAGATGTCCCCCGGACAGACTGTATACAGGGTTTGCAGAAATGGGGGATATCGGTGATGCTCATAAGTGCCCACCAGAAGAAAACTAGTGCCAGATACGACAGGGGCCTTTTTGTACTGTCAAGGCTTTGGGAATTTGAATCGTGCAGCGAATTAGCTTTGCAGTGGTGGCGTAATTTGCAGGTTGAGATTAGCAAAATAACTGTTCTGAGAAAGCTCCATCCTACAGGAATTAACATCAGGGTTGCAAAAAAAAAAAAAAAAAACATAATCAACTTGGTAAACTGACGAAGAAGAGCAACACGGGCTGCAAGAAGAATTGCATGGACAGTAGGTCAGAACTGTTTTGATGAGGCCATCCTCACCGTGAAAAACGTGGGCTCATGTGCACTTAAGAGTAAGGAGAACATCATCCACTTCTGATATGCCCGAGCATATACACATTTCCTCACAAGACAGTCAACTTCAATAATGCTGTGAGGGTGCATCGGTCTCTCCGAAACTGTTGGACTGGTGGCGACAAATTGAAAGCTGAACCACAAGCGTTACACTGAATTACACTGAATCTCCTCTTTTGTACAAATTCTTTTATCAAAAGTATTTTAGAGCCTGGGTCAACATAGTCCTGAAACCATAGTTGAATATTTAGAAATCTTTGTCCAAAGGGAGGAGGCCATATTGAAATCACGTTGCTATCCTACAAAAGGTTGATACTAACAAAATAAATAACACGCTTTTCGTAAAAAGCAAAGCACTTGTCTGAAAAACTAAAGTTAAGATACTAACTTGACATTCACTTTTCAATAAAACACCTCCTTAAAACCCTTAAGAAATCTCACTGTTGTTCAACTCCAAGCGAAACGATTCGTGCAATACTATGTCATCCTATTGTATTTCCAGGATATGTGCTTTATAATAATGTGACTTTAGGAGTCTTTGACTAATTAAACTTTAGAAAAGGTAACAATGAATTGGCATACCTATCAGATTTCTGATGAAGACGAAAAAAGTAAAAGAAGCGAAAAAGAAACGGATAATTCAACAAAGGATGGCCAAAATTACCCCCTTACCTTGTTGAACATACGCCCGGATAACCGGATTCATCACAGGATCACCAGTGTAATTATACAAGATGAAATGCTCCGCTCCAAGTGTCCGGTAAACCTCAACAAACTCTATCAAACGCATGAAGTTACTATATTCAAAAAGGGCGGTCTCTACACAAACTCCGATCTTCCGTCTCAGCTTGTTCGCATCCCAATTGCTTGGCCTACTCTTGTCGATCACCTTGAGAATGGGGACATTGCCCACGCGAGCAGAGTGCCGGTCTTCCATCAAGGAAACGGCCAGCGGCTTTGGTAATCCTTTCACATCGCAATGGTAAAGAGATGCAGAATATCTAAAATGAATAAATAGAATAAACTGAACAGACCTTACATTGATCTTTTTTCACACCTTGGTTTTCGAAAACAATAAAAAAGATGAACGAACAACTTAATCGATGAATACATTGGTAAATATACACAGCTTTATTAAGAATGTCAGAACATGAGGTCAAGCAGATATTTGGTGGATCTTGGTAGAATTCACTAGTCCTGGATCCCCCTCCCAGACGTACACACACAACCACCTAGAATCCCGGAGTTACCTCCGTCTCTTTATTCTCCCCCTACCGCAATAAAGATAAATAAACAAAACTTCAACCCCTCCCCCTGGAAAAAGAAGAAGAAGAAGAAGAAGAAGGCCAGCGCTGGCAATTTAAAAGCTGAGATTCTTTTTTTTTCTGAAAATTATGAACCTTTTACAGTAGGCCCTATTAGCACAGACCTTGGATCAAATTTTGATTCAAACAGGGCCTTCCTCGTGCAAAAGCAAACTCCCAGACCATCCCTTCTAAATACGTGTCATGTCAACTTACTTTCCCCTCTTTGGATTTCGCTCAAGCTTTGCCGGTCGCACTACATTTCCATTAGTAGACAGGTTACCACTGAGTCCAGTTTTACCTGCTTCTTGGTACCAAACTCTGCAGAATTTCGGTGGTTTAGTCTCTCTGTCTACAAGTGATACAATTCGAACGTGTCCTCCCTCGCGGTCATCGTAAAATGCTGAGAAAAAGTACTGTTTTCCACCTGGTTGTTCTTTCCACGTTAATTCCTCCTTGTCGGGAAGGCCAGAGGAGAGCATTTTAGGGGCAACGGGAAGTTGCGCAGTCATGTTTACCGGAAATACAGAGTGCCGTCTGTCATGGGGTAAAATTAAAGAAAGTGGGGGTGTATATTGTAGTGTCAGTAGTTCCCCTAACGAAGACGTATGATAAGGGGGATTTATGATTTCATTTCTCCTTCCTTTGAATAATAAGTGGAACACCAGTGCCATGAAAGTCAAAACCACAAAGACATAAAAAATGGACTTATTTTGCGTCGATAACATCCTTCGAAGTGTTGGATCACTCCGAACCGTCTTCTTATTTTACTTTATAGTTGAACTGAAAAAAATATGACGTTTATTCAATATATATATATATATATATATATATATATATATATATATATATATATATATATATATATATATATATATTTGCTGAAGTCCTTTCTAGAAATAAAACCCAATTCAAAATTTGGGTCGTGATCAATAACATGATTAGGCAAAGTCCAAGTAAAATATGAAATCCTTTAAATCACTGTTCAGTTATATTATTAGAAATTGTAGCTGTAATTTTAGATATTTGTATTATCCAGTGATTTCATTTTTGGACTTGTGCATTTTGATTTGGTTTAGTAGTTTTCCAAGATCGACTAGTCCAATTTAACTGTATAATGCAAAGCCGGAGGAACTGACTATAATAATAATAATAATAATAATAATAATCATGTTAATAACAATGATAATAACAACAACAACACCAACACCAACAACAGCAACAACAACAATAGTGATTATATATCTACTTAAACCACAAAAAAATAAATAAATAAATCAGCACAGGAGTTTTCAATATTTTCAGTTCTAAAGCATTACACAACTTACTGAAGATTTTTTCTGGGCTGTTATTAAACAACACCGAATTGTGCTGAACAAAAAGTTTATAAAACATTTCATTCCTGGGAGTAAAAAATGCACTGCAAATTGTGATAGTTGTTATTCACAAATGCAAGTCCATAAGACCTCGGAAGAAATAAAAAAAAAAAAAAAATTGAAAGCAAGCCCGAATGTCTCTCCGAGTATTGTGTACTTTTATCTCAAATTCATGACAGTTTGTTTTTTAAATTTATGGATACTGTGGTTCACATAAAAAGCTTCTATTTTACAGATTTCATCGTTTCATTTGCAAGAAAAAACGCAACTGCAATCAACAATGCAAACATAAATCTAACTGGTTGTCTTTAATATTTTAAACTTCTGCACACTTCTAGGTGGCTAAAGCAGTAACTCATGCTGAGAGATGCCATATAGTCATCTGTAGAGAAAGCTTTAGACCAGAACAATACAAAAAAGTCAATTCATCTTGAACTTGGGTGATCCCGATGTCATGGTAAATTTGTGCAACCACAAAAAAAAAAAAAAAAAAAAAAA